CTTTCCCTAGTTCCTGGTAACCACCATTCTACCTTTATTTATTTATTTATTTATTTATTTTTGCTATAGGGCGTGTGCACTTGCTAGAGACAGAGAGAGGGAAAGTGAGAGAGAACCATTCCCCACCGTACAGGATGGCCACACTGCAATCCCTTATCTTCCATTATTTTTCTCTTGGGCTTTTGGGCACACATGCATATGCACTCCAAGTTTTTCAGGTCCTTGGGTTGGGTGCTCAAACTCTGCCGTCAGCCATGTGAGGTCTAGCCACCTTAACTCTCATGCCATCTGCTAGACCCCACTGTTCTACTTTTTGTCTTCTTGATTTTGGCTTAGTACCTCATATATGTGCAATCATGCAGTATTTGTTTTTTGTGATTTGCTCATTTCACTTAGCGTAATGTCCTGAAGGTTCATCCATGTCATAGCATACCATGTTGTATCAGAATTTCCTCCCTGGTCTGGCCCCGTACCCTAGTGGCTAAGGGAGCCACATCCCACATGGCTGGTCATCAAGTCCCAGCCCTGGCAGCTTGAAAAACATGCTGAATGGCAGGTGGCGTGGTGATTAACGTGCTGAACTCCCACATGGCCAACCACAGTTTGAGTCCCAGACCCAGTGGCTGAAACTCACACCCATGATGTGTGCATGTATGCCCAAAATCCCAAGAAGAGAATGAGAACAGAGAAGAAGGGATTGCAGTGTGGTCATCTCCCTTGGGGGATGATTTCTCACTTTCTCTCTCTCTCTCCAGCAAATGCCATGCACCCTATGGCAAAAAACCTAAAAATAAAAAGAAGAAGATGTATATGCATACTCTAATAGAATGGAGAAATGGAAGAGAAGGGATTGTGATGTGACCACACCCCATTGGGATGGTACTTTCTTCCTCTTTCTTGGTCTCTTTCTGGCAATTGCACATACTCTCTGGTAATACAAAAAAAAAATGTCTTTTTTTTTTAATGTCTTTTTTTGAGAGGTTTTTGCCTTTGGGTAGAGTGGACTTGTTGGAGACAGAGACAATGAGAGAGGAAGTAAGAAATCACCCCCTGGGGGGATGACCTCACAGCAGTCCCTTCTCCCAAGATCTTGGGCACAGACACATTCTGGCGTGAGTTTCAAGCCACCAGGTCCAGGATTTGAACGGTGGTCGGCCATGTGGGAGTCCAGTGACGTACTGCTATGCCATCTGTTGGCTCCAAGTATTTTCTTTTTTTAAGACTGAATAATGGTAGTTGGTGTAGTAGTTAACG